ATCCGACACCGGCGAAAGAGGACAATCAGAGAACCCAACACCGGCGATTTTTGATTTACAAAAAACTATAAGTTGTATTATTAAGCTGAACCAAACACATCAAAATAACTTAAATTAAGCTAAAAACTGAAATAAGCTTTACCAAACAGAGCCAAAATGAATTTGTTCAGATTTTCAGAACCAAACAAATTCACTTTGTTCGGCTGGACTTCCAGAACAAAGTGAAATTATTCGATTCTGAAAATTTCGAATAATAATGACGAAAAACAAGTTGAATAGAACATAAGCTGATTTTTGACTTATAAATTAAGCTCCTCCTCCACCACTCAAAGAATAAGTTGATTTTTGACTTACAAAAAGCTATAAGTTGTATTATTAAGCTGAACCAAACATATCAAAATAACTTAAATTAAGCTAAAAACTGAAATAAACTTTACCAAACAGAGCCAAAATGAATTTGTTCAGATTTTCAGAACCAAACAAATTCACTTTGTTCGGCTGGACTTCCAGAACAAAGTAAAATTGTTCGATTCTGAAAGTTTCGAATAATAATGACGAAAAACAAGTTGATTATTCACTTTTATATAAAAGTAATAAAAATTAAAAAAATTAAAAAAAGAATCATGATAAATCTGTACGCGTCTAATTCCAGCACATAAAAGAAAGGTCACTCTTTCGATACACTTTGTTGCCTATCTAACCCTTGCCATGTGTAGCAACTCCTTTACCTAGTAAACTAAAAAACATAAAAATTAATAATTGTACTTGATATTTATATGAATACTTAGGTCTTCTTTAATAAATTGCTTCAAAAAACTATTTGATTATTACTCTCATCTATTATTTAATTTTATTCAACCTTTGTTCTATTTACAAGTAATAATATAATAAAAAAAACAATAATGTTGATAATAATTGTAAATTTTGATAGAGTGAATTGGAGTTTTGAAATAAGGAAGACGAAGAAAAAGATAAAATAATTGAAACTTGAGAAAGAATATAAAGATATTTGAATAGAAAGAATATATACAATTGATTAGGATGTACTATAAGAAAAAAAATTATTTTAATTTTTAATATGTTTTGTCTATATTATGAAAATTAAAATTTTAAAATTTGAGTTAATAATAATTTTGGAATTTATATAGAATGGCCCAATCAGAATCAATCCAATATGCCAAGACAATAAGAATTGGGCCATTGAGGAAGCCTAAAACAGAAAAGGAAACTTGGTCGGAGCCAAGTGCTAATCCAAACCAGTCTCTGGCAGAATGCCACGGCCAACAATCCAAAGCCTAAGCCAGTTTTGGCCATTGCCAGCAAGACCAAGCTTACGGTAGACTTGGCCACAACTAACAAGCTCAAAGCCCATGACAGGCTTAGCCACAACCAACAAGCCCAAGCACCTACCAAGCCTGGTCACCACTAGCAAGCCCAAGCCCACACCAGACTTGGCTACAACCTGCAAGCCCATGTCAGGCTTGGACACAAACCAAAAAGCACAAGCCCCTGTGAAGCTTGGCCATAGCTAGTAAACCTAAGCCCACCCCAGGCTTGGCCGCAACTGCAACCACAAAACCCAAGCCCTTCCAGGCTCGGCTACAACCAGCAAGCCCAAACCCACTCTGGCTTGGCACCAAGTTGTGGTTCTAGAACCTACCATGGCATGGCACCAATCCTCAAATCTAATTTTGAATACCTGATAAGTAACCCTGGATCCAATGGTATTGTAAGAGAATTGTACTCGTTTCATGATTATAAGGAATATTACAACGTCCGTAAACGTAAATCATGCAAATCTTTGTATTTTTGTGTGCTTAATTTTTTTCAAATTGTTTTATCTTTCTTATTTGCTATTTTGTATCTCATCTATTCTAATTAGAAAGAATCGATTTCCTAACATTCTCAAACCCTAAGGTTTAGAGAGCAACATATTAAGGTTTCAGGGCCACAACGACAGCTCAGCAAGTGGCCTACCCACTTCTCCAGCGAGTGGTGGGGGAGGGGAAGGGGGAGGGGGGGGAGGGGGGGAAGAACTAATGGTTTAGAAATCATCTTCAGCAGTAAAGCTCTAGAACAAAGAGCCAAGGGTGTCCCCAAGAGTGATCTAGAAAGATGAACCAAGTTATGGTTGCAACCACGGCTTGTTATTTTCAACTTGATTGAGGTTATCATTAACCTTACACTAAAAATCAACATCAATATTCCCCATCAAAAACATGCCAAATCAGAAATTACTTTTACCATGTTAAGCTGCGTATTACAGTTAAAATGACTATATGAGCTTTGTTAGTCAACAATTTAATGCCCATACGATTCTTGTCAACGCCTAGTTAAAGCCTCGCATTGCTTGCTATAAGTATAACCGTAAACTTGTATTAGAAGAGGAGGACAATAATTCAGGAAGAATGATCCCCCATGTAAATGACCTCCAATTGAGAGAGAGAGAGAGAGAGAGATATTTAAACTCATACCTAACCAAACTATTTTAAAAGGACAGTTTGGTATAATGTGCAATATCTCTTTAAGAGTCCAACAAAGATCAAAGCTCTCAAATCTTTGCCACCCCAATAGTACTGGTCAAAGGTTCATTCAATGACCAGCACAGCAACTTTCAGATAAACTAAAAAGTGACACGCAAATTAGCATCAATACATAATAAGTCACAAAAAATTTGCCTAATGGTGTGTTTCGTCGGGAGATTTGAGGAGGAATTTAAAAAGGAAAAGGTGTGTGAAATTATATGAAATATATACATATTTTATTCATATTTCACCTACCTTTTCCATTTCCCTTTCCAAATCTATCCCCAAATCCTTCAACCAAACACAGCATAAATTTAAAGGATAAACTACACTTTGCTCCCCTAGAGTTTCATCTATTTCTCATTTTGACCCTTTAAGTTTGATTTTTCTCACTTTGGCCCTTCTTGTTTACAATTATTTCTATTTTACCTCTAAATTAACTTTCATCCAAAAAAATTAACAGAATCTGCCATTAAAAGCGAGGAACTTTCTAGGAGAATAGCGAGGGGAACACCAACACATCAGTTCTATGTGTGATGTAAAAAATTTATTAAAGATACAAAAAATTAAAAATTAAAAATTAAAAAAAAATGAAATTTTTTTTTTTAGTTTTTAGTGATTTTTTAAAAAATTTATTCATAAACATTACTACATTATAGATGCAACTAGATTAGATGCAACTAAAAAAATAAAAACAAATTTAACTAAAAATAGAAAAAAAAAATTCACTAAAGACGGAGAGAAAAAAAGATAGTAAACTTTTCATTTTAGAATTAATCTTTGCCACCCCAACAGTACTGGTCAAAGGTTCATTCGATCACCAGCACAGCAACAACTTTCAAATAACTAAAAGTGACACGCAAATTAGCATCAATACATAATAAGTCCCAAAAAAATTGCCTAAATTTAGAGGATAAACTACACCTTGCTCCCCTAAAGTTTCATCTATTTCTCATTTTAACCTTTTAAGTTTGATTTTTCTTACTTTGGCCCTTCTTGTTTACAATTATTTCTATTTTACTTCTAAACTAACTTTCATCCAAAAAAATTAACAGAATCTGCCATTAAAAGCGAGGAACTTTCTAGGAGAATAGCGAGGGGATCACCAACACATCAGTTCTATGTGTGATGTACAAAATTCACTAAATATATAAAAAATTAAAAATTAAAAAAAAAATGAATTTTTTTTTTTAGTTTTTTGTGATTTTTTTAAAAATTTATTCATAAACATTACTACATTATAGATGCAACTAGATTAGATGCAACTAAAAAAATAAAAACAAATTTAACTAAAAATAGAAAAAAAAATTCACTAAAGGCGAGGAGAAAAAAAGATAGTAAACTTTTCATTTTAGAATTAACAATACAGGTGTTTGAGTGAGTATTTTTTTTTTTTCTTTAGGAAACTTTTTTTTTTATAGTTAAATTTGTTTTTATTTTTTTAGGTACACCTAATCTAGATGCATCTATAATGTAATAATGTTTATGAATAAATTTAATAAATAAAAAAATCACTAAAGACAAAAAATTCCAATTTTTATGCTTTTTATGTTTCATTTTTTGAATATTTACTGAATTTTTACATCACACAAGGAGCTGATGTGACAAATTCTATTAGTTTTTTAGATGGAAGTTAGTCTAAAAATAAAGTGAGAATGATTGTAAACATGAATGGTCAAAGTGGGAAGAATTGCAAACATAAAGGGCGAAAGTGAAAGAAAATCAAACTTGAAAGATCAAAGTGAAAAGGATTGGAAACATAAAAAGTTAAAAGTGAAAACACAAAATAAATAAATAAATCAAACTTAAAGGGTCAAAGTGAAAAATGGGTAAAATTTTGAAAGGCAAAGTGTTAATTTACCCAAATTTAAATTGAATAATTTAATCTATACACTTTAAATTGAATGAGTAATGTTAGGGATGTGCCAAATGCTTTACTAAATGTTCTATCAAATATTATCAAATAAATATTTCACATGAATATAGGACTCACACCCACACTTATGTGAAGCATTTGACATTTAGTAAAACATTTAAAACCCTTAATATTTTTCAAATTCAATTTTAATTTGATCCTCCCATCCAATTTTCTTTTAATTTTTCCCACACGTACATTTTAAAGGATTAACAAATCTCCTAAAATTGTCAACTTTAATTTTTAATTTAAATAGAAATGACCAAATTAAAACCGTTCACTTATAAAGACCAAAATGAAAATTTAGTGAATGGGCTAATCCGATTGGTTCAAGACACACTCTAGTTAGCTTTTGCCTACCCTTTTATTATTTATTTATTTTTCTCAAGTTATGCAATGTGACAACACTAATAAGTTTTGCAAGGAAATGGACACACAGATCAATACCCCCTCCTGCAAATGAACTTTCCTCAACCAAATGATGCAACAATGTGGTCCCTCCCCACCACCACCCCCATCAAAACTTTACATCATAACAGTTAAAGAATCAAACCAATATATATATCCATATAAACATCGCTGTCTCCTATTATAAATTCTTGCATGCGTTGTTTAGCAAATAGGCGTAAAGACAACAGCAACTCCAAACAAAAGCAATTTACACATCCATCATCCAACCAACATACACTACTAACAATACTAAGCATACGTTACATGTAACACACACAATTCATGATAGCAACAAGCGCACACATGTTTGTTTTCATTATTTAAAGTTACATAAACCATACCCAATCACATGACCAATAGCAGATTCACAAGAACATGCGCGTACAACAACAAAGCTTCAATTGATCGATGCTTGATCGATACATGTGTGTGGTGGTTGATTGAGACCTCTAAAGCAACTGCGTGATGCAAAGTAGCTTCGCTTGTGCAATTTGCTCCATCAGAAAGGAAAATCCCACAAACAAAACCACATGAAGATGACACAAAAAAAGGGTGAGCAAACGAAGATGCGGGTCCCAAAGTCGCCCACTCGGCGTGCACTCTCCCCATTTTTGAGGTTGGTTCTTTTAACAAAAACCAATAATTCACTTCCCTCTATGAGGGCATTAATACACCAGTCTTTTCTTTCTCTAGGCGAGGGCTAGAGATTTAACGAACCAAAGCTACTGGTTCCAACTGAAATCATCAAAGAAGACTTGAAAAGCGTTCGAGTTCTATCTTCACAATCTCCAATTTTCACTTCTGGTATTGAGAACGTCTATACTGTGCACACACCAATTCTGCTAATATTATTGCTAATAATACTTGTAAGACAAATAGATTCTCAGAGTGCATCGACTCCTAAAGCCTCAGCTTTATGCTTCAAGGATATCAAGAAATTAATAGCTTCATCAAGTATCACAATCGCATCCTTACCCTTCCCCACAGGAATTATGTTTTGCAGTTTGCTCACAGTCTCTCGTATCGTGTCTGTCCTTGATCTCTTGTTACCTGAGAACAAACCCGATTCTCCAAGACCGCTATTTTTGCCATCCGCACAACTAGATTGCGCATCGTCTTCATAATCGAAGCATTTTTGGGGTTTAACAGAGCTTGCAGCAGTGTTCATGAGTGGTGGCACATCATAACCTCCATCAAACAGTTTCCTCTTTTTGGTAGGCCAGTCCGAACTAGCAACTTCTTCATCACTTTTCTCAAACCACTCTCGTTTATCATACACAGTCATCATACTGGGCGAATGTCCAGTGCTTGCTTCTTCGCCATCTTCAGAATAATCGCCATCGCCGTACTCATCATCAGAGTAAAGCAATGCATTGAGCTCTTCGGTGTCTTCGTGCATCTCACTGCCCATATCATCTCCATGATTTTCATTACCCTCATCAGTCAAAATGGGCCCAGGAGAAAGAATGGTATCTCTTCTGGTTCCTAGCTCTATCTTATTCAAATCATAACCACTGTCAAGTTTTGGACCCCACGGAGCCGGCGGGCACTGGACAGGGACCCCAATCTTGGAACTAAGAATCAAGGTTGTTTGCTCACCAGACTGATCAAACACGAGGAATCTCTTTTGAGCACACTCAGATGCTGAATTAGGTGCGACAACCTCACGATTCTTATACGGACCATCATAGATTCTCTCTTTCAAAATGGAGTTTGACACTGGAGTCGAGGCCTGATGGAAGTGAGGTAAACCATAAAACCAATCACGAGGTTCAATTGGTTGGCTTGCCTTAGTTTGAGGAACCCCATAAAAAGGAAACCCTTGCAGAGTCGCATTTGTGGAAATCGCATTTGTGGAAACCACATTAGCAAGAGGGCTCGTATAAGTGGAGATAGCATTTTGCTGCCCCAGGTTGAACGGACCGCACAAGGTATTCAAATTAAGTGGTGGCCGATCAGAATGCTGGTGATAAAACCAGGATCCGAAATCCTTTTCCATCCAACTGCAACAATCACCTAATATTACATACCAAAAATCCAAAAAAACACCCACCTATCAGATTAATTGGATGCAAAGCATGATCAAAATTTAGAAAAACAACAAATTAAGAGACGGTGAACCATACCAGTAGAACAACGTTTTGTGGTATTACAGATCGCTGATCACTTGTTGCTTTTCTTTCCTTTCAGAAACAATGGTGAAAACTAAATACTCCAGCTTAAAATTAAACACAAACGCGTGTAAAAACAAAGAACCTACGTAACGGGCTTAAGCAAGTGACGAAAATATTCTGCCTGAAAATACCCAAATACAAGATCATATGAGATTTTATTCTAGTGAGGCATCTTAGAGAATACAGACAAAGCAAAACACAAAAGAACATAAAATTCGATTCGACTCTAATAGTTCTACAGAAGATATCAGCTAAGAATTTGAATATATTATTGACTGACCTGGCAATCCTGTAGAGGTTGAAAGCATGCTATAACTCTAACTATAATGGTGGCACTCCCAGCAATCCCACTTTCGTGTTTCAATGCCCGAAATCTTGTTTGGCTCGCTGCTTGGCTTACCATAACTACAAATTCCCAACCCTTTTCTAATCAAAGCAACACCGCGCGATCTTCCAACAAACAAAGGATCAAACAAAACCCAAACAAGCAAAACAAGAATTTGATCGATATGGGTCAGATTAAATGCTGTGAATACAAAAAATCAGCTAATCCTGCGGACGTAGCAGGGAATAACGACGAACAGATTTGATCCCATGGGGGGGTTTTCTGTATTATGAATCGATTGAAAGCGAGGAAATTGTAGGGGAGTTGGAATTTTGGAAGAGAATTACAGAATCACACGACAATACAAGTTCAAGGAGATGACTTTTCGAAACACGTCGACAGAAAGACTATACCACCGCATATTCTGTTTATAATCCGATTGCTAAAACTGTTTACTTTGCCACAATCTATTCAAAGTACCTGCAAGAAATATAGATACACATAAGATACATGTACACCTAAGAATCGAAGAAAAAATGAAGAAATCTAAACAGAAACAGTAACCATACGTTTGGTTGCTGAGAAAATGAAGGAGAAAATGGAAGAAATCTAGAGAAAGAGAGTAACCCTGTGTTTGGTTGTTGAGAAAATGGAGTAAAAGGGTAATAAAAAGTTCGAATCTTCTGATTTCTGTTGTTTTTGCAGAAAAATCAGCTGAGACCACAGATTTTTTTTTTTTTTTTTTTTTTCGGAGCTCAATCAGGGTTACTGTTATTTTGGAACCCAAATAGTAGACGGAAAATAGTTCTTTTCTTTTCCTACTTTTTTTTTCTCAGGAAACAAACGGATAGATTGCAGGTAAATGGGCCATTTGCAGATGAACATATAGTATTATTTCCTCGAATCAATTATGCAGAACACACAAAGCATATATATATATAGAGAGAGAGAGAGAGAGAGGGAGAGAGGGAGGGAGTCTTGCAACAAAATTTTCGGAGAAAATATAGATAAAAGTTTAATAAAAATAAAAATTGAAGCAATGAACGTGAAAGATCGAGACAGAAAACGGAGAAAAACATCAAATCAGAGCAAGATGGGCCGAAAATAAAGAAATTCAACAAAAAAAAAAACAAAACAGAACAAAAACACTATCAAAGAGCTAGAAAAAAAAAAACTTACAGTGAGAGAGGGCAATTGCTGAGCAAGAAAAAGGAAATCCCAAATAGCTTATCTTCACAAAACACGAAAACCAGAGACTCAGATCGAACTCAGAAGAAGAGACACAAATGGAGATTTTTTGCAGAGAGAGAGAGTCAAAGTGGGGAAGATGAGATGAGATGAGATGAGATGAGATGTGGTGTGTGCCGGAAAAAAGTTCTTTTCTTATCCTACTTTTTTTTTTCTCAGGAAACAAACGGATAGATTGCAGATAAATGGGCCATTTGCAGATGAACATATAGTATTATTTCCTCGAATCAATTATGCGGAACACTCAAAGCTAATCATGATACATACATATGTATATATATATATAGAGAGAGAGAGAGAGAGAAAGAGAGAGAGGGGGAGTCTTACAACAAAATTTTCGGAGAAAATATAGATAAAAGCTTAATAAAAATAAAAATTGAAGCAATGAACGTGAAAGATCGAGACAGAAAACGGAGAAAAACATCAAATCAGAGCAAGATGGGCCGAAAATAAAGAAATTCAACAAAAAAAAAAACAAAACAGAACAAAAACACTATCAAAGAGCTAGAAAAAAAAAAACTTACAGTGAGAGAGGGCAATTGCTGAGCAAGAAAAAGGAAATCCCAAATAGCTTATCTTCACAAAACACGAAAACCAGAGACTCAGATCGAACTCAGAAGAAGAGACACAAATGGAGATTTTTTGCAGAGAGAGAGAGTCAAAGTGGGGAAGATGAGATGAGATGAGATGAGATGAGATGTGGTGTGTGCACGGAGGGGGGAGAGAGAGACTATATAGAAGGGAATTGACATGAATGTCCTTTTAGTTCGTGTGGTGGTGGTGGGGTTTTTTTGTTTTTTTAATACGTGTGCAACGCACGCTTAGAATTAGTGTACAATAATATCTACAATAAAATATAAGCATATAGCGGCAGCCTTCCAAGTTCCACCGCGAGAGGAGATTAATTGACATGTATTTTTTAATTTTTTTATAAAAAATAATATAATTTTAATAAATATATTTATTTAATTTATACTAAATAATATTTAAATTAGTCCAGACACTCCGTAAAAAATCAAAAAATATATACATAAACATATTTGTATAATTATTTAATTTATAAATAATACTTAAATTAATCCAAACATTCTGAGTCCAGACATTCTGTAAAAAATCAAAATATATATATATATATATATGCATATATGTATGGATTTGGGTGTGTATACAGCTATATACTGAGATGGTACGAGGGAGCGTGGGTGGACCCGTTGGTGGTTGTATCATGATTCCGTGTGCCCGTGGGTTTTTTCACCCATATAACCACTCCTTTTTTTTAATTTTGTTTTTTTTAAGGGTAAAACAGGTACTCTGAAGTCTAGTTTTAAAATAAGTTATTTTAATAATTTTTGAATTTTTTTTATTAAAGTATGTGGTAAAAAATATAGTATATATGTGATAATTTTAAATTTTTTTATAAAAAAAAAGTGTAAAAAATAAAGAGAAAAATTAAATTTTGTCTTTTTTTGTATAATTTATTAGTTTTTTAAATTTTTTTTTTTTTTTTTTTTTTTAAAACTTTTAAGACTCCTTTTTTTTATTTTGTTTTTTTTAAGGGTATAACAGGTACTCTGAAGTCTAGTTTTAAAATAAGTTATTTTAATAATTTTTGAAATTTTTTTATTAAAGTATGTGGTAAAAAATATAGTATATATGTGATAATTTTAAATTTTTTTATAAAAAAAAGTGTAAAAAATAAAGAGAAAAATAAAATTTTGTCTTTTTTTGTATCTCAAATTATTAAACTATGGATGAAAGAGATTTTTTCTTTTTATCAAATTCATGTCATTTGTAAAATAAAATTTTAAAATTTATCGCTCAAACTCATTTTATTTTGTAAAATTGTGTTTTTAAAACATAATTTTAAAAAATAACATGATTTTAGAAAATAATTATAAAATAACTTACACTTGTGAAATAAATTTTGTAATAACTTGAGTTTGATAAAATTTCTCAAATTTTAAATTTATTGCTCAAATATCACGTTGATTTTGTAAAATTATATTTTCAAAACACGGTTTAAAAAAATATTGCTTTAAAAAAATAAGTCTGGAATAACTTGCATTTGAGAAATAAATTTTGTGATAACTTGAATTTGATAAATGGTTTATTTTACCTATATTTATCTTATTTTATTTTTAAAAATAAGATGAAGGGGTTTCTTTTACTTTGTGATCTTTGAGAGTGTGCATTAATATAGTTATTGACATGAATTGTCTTTTACCTGTATTTATTTTATTTTTGTTGTTAAATATTTCCATTAAATTTGAAACGATAAATTCTTAAGATAATTGTGAAAAAGGCTGCAACATGCAGTTTAAGATTCAATATAAAGCACATATCTAACAAAATTAAGTGGAGTTTGTAAACTATATATATACAAGTCCCATTTGGCAAAAATTAAAAGTTAGCATTTTTATTTTATTTTTTTGGACTAAAAATAATCCATGTAAGTTATGTAAGTTGAACGCAAAATTGTGCCAAATATCTTTCATCAACTTTTAAAAAAAAAATTACAATCCAAATTATCCAACTTAAAAATTTTCCTAAACACCTTCCCATGCTCACTCATTGAATAGAGGATATTAACAATGATGCAATATTTTGAAAATGATTAATGATATCAGAGCAAATCCATCTAAATAGTATCTTGTTAGAATTATAACTCTCTAGAATTTGAGTGGTATTTTTAACAAGTAGTTTTTGTGGTATATTCATAAGGCAGTGGCTTTGGTCCAGTTTAAGATCGGATTGGATCGTGCTGTTGGGTTCATAGGGGTTCACCACGGGTCCCATTTTAATAATCCGAACCGTTCAATGTAGAACTCATCGAGTACTATATGCCTGCAAAAAATCATGTTGATTGGATATCGATAGCTTTGTAAACAAAACAATTTTTTATCAACCGTTAATTGTTTCACCGTCTTTTTTTTATACAAAACTGATTTGATCACATAGTTATTGATATCCGATCAATGTGATTTTTTGTAAGAATGTAGTACTCGACGAGTTCTACACATTGAACGATTCAAATTATCAAAACAGGCCTAAAAAATAGGCCCCATGAACCGAACTGGGCGAGTTCAGTCTTGATCTCAACGTGAGACAAGCTGGACCCTATTCATAAACCTAACATGATTAAAATTGTTCAAAAATTATTACCATAATGGTAGTCTTGATAAGTTTTTGGAACAAGGGTTCTTCTCCCCCTCCCTTCTTCTCTTTCTTCTTTCCTTTTTTATTTTTTGTTTTTTTTTTTGTTGTTTTTGGATATTTATCAATAAATTCCATCTTACAAAAAGTATTCTAATTAGTCACAAGTTTTTTTTTTATTAATCTGTTAAGTCCTATTAGTATAAAGTTTTTTTCCAGGTATAATGTAACACTCCAAAAAAATCTTTAGTGTATTTTTTTCAAATATTATAATGTGACACTCTAAAAAAAATTAAAAATTCATTAGTGTACTTTACTCAAATGTAACGACGTGGTTAGTATGATGTGACAATTAAAAAAAAATTAACATACTTTTTTCAAATGTGATGACGTAACAGGTATGATGTAACACTCCAACGTGATAGATATGATGTGACACTCTAAAAAAAACTAAAAATTATGATGTGATACTTCAAAAAAATCTAGAACCTTGTATATTTTTTTTTCCAAATGTGACAACATGGTGGATATGATGTGACACTCCATAAAAACAAAAACAAAAAAACTCTCTAGTATACTTTTCTTAAATATAATATATGACACTCTAACATAGCGGGTATAATTTAACACTCCAAAAAAATACAAACTCCTTTATTTTTTCTAAATGTGACACTCCAATGTGACGTGTATGATGTGACGTGTATAATGTGACACTAAAAAACTCTTTAGTGTACTTTTTAAAATGTAGCGCTCCAATATGGCGGGCAAATAAGTCATTATACATTTAAAAGAATTAAATGAATCACGAGAAAAAAAAATATAAAATTATATAAATCACAAATTTAAAATATGAGATTTATTGATCAATCTCATCTTCTTCTTCTTCTTCTTCTTTTTTTTTTTTTTTTTTTTTCCTTTCAAAATGTAAGTTCAAGCTGGCAGAAGAAAATGTAAATTTGTATTTGAAAAATAAAATTGGAGTAAAAAGAAAAAGAAAAAGAAAAATTAAGAAAGTAGGAAGAGGGTATCCTATGTTTAGCATGAAGACCAATTATTTGGAGATTGACCATTCAAACTATGAATCATATGAACGCAAATTGGCCCACTAACCAGCTATGGATACATCATAATATCCATCTAAGTAATAAATGAATTTTTCATTAAAAAAACAAAAAAAAAAATGTCACTGAATAAAAAGACATGAGTTCAGCATCTATATTATAAAAAAAAAAATTAAAAATGACACAAACTGCAATTAAAAAGCAAAATCTAAGGGTTTATTTGATTAGACAGATTGTAGTATATGATTGAAATTTATAATAAATGAAATTTACATTTTAGTATTTGGTTGTAATTTTTATTATTTGGATTAAATTTTGATAAATATTCCATTCAACAAAATTGATAGGCATTTTACATGGATTAAATTCTAAACAACCAACCTTATACTATAGAAGATGGCCTAAAAGTGAGCCATCTCTTAATTTCAAAATAATTAACTTATTTAAATTATTTGTATTTTATAAATATAAAAATATATATATAAACAATTTTAATGAATTATACCAAAGAAAGGCTTATATATCCATCAATAACCTACTTGAAGATTGGGGTTAAAAAGGATAAAAGTTTAGAGACTTACCCTCATTCACTCAGAAAATTTTGATAAATGATTATGTGATACAGATTAATTTTGATGAATGATTATGTGATAAAAATTAATTTGTATAATATGTGACTCATGTAGATTCATATGAGTTGGATAAAAATTAATTTTTAAATTGATAAAAATAAATTTGCAATATTACTATTAAAAAGACCTTGGCACTTTTCATTGATGTGACATATTGCATCAAGAGAACCATCAATGGAGACCCGAAAACCAGGGATGGAGACCTTTTTTTAGACTTTATATTCACTACTGAAATTATACCTACATTGCCTTTGGGTGTCACTTTTACCTCAAAATAAATAATTGCCTTTGGGTGTCACTTTTACCTCAAAATAAATAAATAAAATATTTAATATAACGATAATATCATTTTATATAGTGTGACTGATCAATAAAAAGTAACAAATGAAATTAAGTGGACAACTCAAGCTCTTCTTTATTGATATTTTGTATTTTTTTTGTTTACTTTCAACAATAAAGATTTTTTTTATCAATCAAAAAAAAAAAGTGAACAGCTCTAGCTGTCTACTAATCCAAAAATATTGTAATTTCTACTACAATTCAAAATTACTCATTAAAAAATAAATAAAATTACTCATTAAATAATAATATCACCACATAATATTATCATTACATCTAATATTCACTCAACTTTTTCATTTTACACGTATTCTAATCAATACATTGCCTTTCAATAAGCTTTTTACCTTTGAGGACTCCATTCTTTGTTGCCTTTTAGCAAACTGCACTACCTTACCTTTTGATCACTTTGATAATATGAAGAGGAAAAAAAAAAATTAAAAAAACAAATGTTTACATGTTACATTTTTATTGACAACACCAAATTCTAGAAAATTATATCTTGTTTTGTTTGTTGTATT